AAAAATTATTCTTGATTTTTCTTTGGAAGCTAATTTTATATCTCCCCCCTTTCTTTGCTATTTGAATTATAGGGATAATTGTAAAATCCAGTTGTTGTGAATGTTTAAATGGAATGATTGAATTCCCCCTTCTGGAATAATATGAGAATTGTCCTTCATATTCATATTCACCAGCTTTTGCACATTCCAATAAATATGCTTTTTAGAAAGAAGCATGAGGGTCCAAAAATACTTTTGATTCCCCTATTCATAGATGGAAGTGGAAAATTTTGTTCATTCTACTAGTCTGTCCATATTAAGACTGGTGAAGTTCAGAAAAAATGGAGTGTTTTAGGGATTGTCAAAGAAAAAGGAATTGCAGGATCATAAGGAATCTTATTCTTCTCATCATCTCCACCAACAGACTTAAAAACTACACCAATCACAAAGTTGAAAGATTCTGAAGTACTGATATCACTGGGAGGAAAACTTTTAATTAAAAAGTTATACAGTACCTAGCCACACCCTATTGCACCAACAGAGCTTGGATATGGTTGCTATTGTGCTGCAAATGTACCTTCTCCTCAAATATGTATTTATGTAGATTTTTCTTTTAAAAAAATGGTAGCATGGAACCAAATGAATATAGAAGTGAAGACATTGTTGGAAGTTTTCTCTACGTGCATTCCAGAGAGTGAGAATCTAACCTGAACAGTACTGGGATTCAAATATGTGAACAACTGGTTCTCTGTGTGGATACCACTTCCAGAAGTCCATTCTGGCCCTGGGCAACGAAACATTAGCTACCGGTTCTGCCGAACTGGTGCGAACTGGCTGAATCCCACTATTGAACCTGAGCCAAGATTTTGAATCAGATGTTATGCTATAAGAGAAAGGAGATTTATTTACAGGAAATATATTATAGGGAAAGGCCAACCTTAGTGCCTATCCTCTCCGGAGAATTGAAAACCGTGTGCTCTGCGAAGGCAGAAGGCAATGACCTCAGATTTGCAAACTGCTAAAACAAATTGCAGACAAAATGAAGGAGAGGAACAAGGAGTCTTTATCTGCACCTTATTGCCCTCTTGTGGTCAATGGATCATGAGGCCCTAAAGAGTGAATGCCACTAAATTTGCACCTTCATGGATCTGAGACACTTTTTTTGTCCAGCTTTAAGTTTTGCAGGATCCAATCTTGGTTGGTCATGGGGACCAGAGGTTTGATCTTCTGAGCTAGCTTTTGGACTCATGCTGGAGCCTGTCCTCAGGAAACTTCTCACTAGCAAAACGTATGACACACCCTCTGCCCGAGAGAAGCTCCCTGAGGATGGGGCTCCGAAAGCTTGGAAGACTAAACCTCTGGTCTTGGTGACCGACCCAGATTGGATCCTGCAACATTGTCCTTCATTTGTGAGGTTTAGTTTTCCCAAGGACCTAATTTTTAAACAATACAAAACTGAATGTCTCTTTATTTTTACCAAAGTGCCTTCCATGTCTGCAATGATTTTATTAATTTTCATCTCTCTGATGAAAACTGCTAATAATTTAGCATATCACTTCATACTTTTCTTTGATGTTGATAAAATTGCTGTTTTATTTCATTTTTTTGTTCAGTCTTGTCTTGTTTGTATAAATAATCTTTTCATTAATTTTGTTTCAGTTCATACTTCAGAATATCTAAGGTCCAAGCTCCAGTTCTTTAGCTATCAGTCATGTTCCCATTTTTTCTCTAAGTAATAAAAAGTTGCCAGTGATGCAAATGGGAGATTTTGATAGCTCTACGAACTGTGGAAGATGAAGATCTTTCTATGGGAAAGAAAACACCAAGTCATTTCCTTCCCAGTCATCCCAAAGAAAATAGTCCCTCTCTGACATAGTATCAGTATTTTAAAAGCTGCAGACTTGGTTAAGAAAAGCACAATCAAAATGATCAATTGTTTGGTTGCTACTTTATCATTTTTTAAAATTAAATCTGTCCAAACTGTAAACCTTACTCTCCCTTTTATTCCTAAAGTCTAACATCCAATGTGGATGTTGCTTCTTTTCAATCTTCTCAAGTAGGGGGTTATCCCTTCTGCAGTTGCCATTCTTAGCTAAATCTTGTCAGTTTTGGTGGTCAGCTATTTTCTAAAATCACAGAGGACTTCTAATCCAATTTCTGCACAGGGCAAAAATCTTCAATGGCTGTTCAACCTGTTTGAAAATTTCCATTGATGGTGATCCATAACTCCAGGAAGCAGGTTGATCTGCTGTTTAATAGTTTTCACTGTCTGGCTGTTTCTCCTTATTTGGCCCATTTTCCCTCTAAATCCACTGTTAGGGACTCTCCATATATGACAGTTGTCAGAGCTCTTCAGTGGCAATTCTGAAAGTGAGCCCATTTTTTCTGGCTCAATTTTGGTTCAGGAGGACATGATGCAATGACAGTTTGGCAACAATAATTTGGAACTACAAAGTGGGTGATTTCCCATTGGCAGGTACTTTCTCCTCTCCTGTTCCCTTGGCTTTCACCCCTCTCTGTTGAAGTCAAGATGCATTGGCATCTCACCATTATTTCTGTCAGGTCCCAAAGAAAATGTACTTCATGCATATATCCATTTGCTATTTTTTGCAGTCTTTCTTTGTGTCCTACCAGTCTGTTGGGAGGGGGAGCTTTTGGGAATGCTTTGCACTGCCTGTTAAGATGTCCTTCCCCAGGGGATGGAATTTCTCTTCCTTATCTAAGAGACGGTTTGGTTTGCGCTTGGGTGCCAGAAGAAATTGAAACTAAGAAAGACCTTGAGAAGCCTTCTGAAAAGACCGGTTACCAAAACACAATGCCACCTTTGGATTGGCTGGGATTCAAATGAACACTGGGACCATGGGGGGAGGAGTATTGAATGTTGCTTTTAATATATTGCTTCCCGGGTTTTTCTCTCAGATCTCACCTTGATTCCCTGCTGTCACTAGCCCCTAATACAGTGGTTCTCAACTGTAATGCCGCCACCCCATAATACAGTTCTCCATGTTGTGGTGACCCCCAACCACTTATACATCACCCGGTGCCAGGGGCATGGCCAAAGAAAAGGGGGGAAAATGGTGGACAGCCTTGTTTGGCCACCCCCGTGAAATGGTCGTTCGATCCCAAATGGGATCCCGACCCACAGGTTGAGAACCACTGCCCTAATAAAAATTCTTTTTGAGACAATGCCTGTTTCAAGAGTTCTGTTTTCTTGGGTGGCTTAGCTGAAGTACCGTATAAGACGACTTCCAGAAGCGCTAAACTCGGCTCCAAAGACAGGGGTCGTCTTATACACCAAGTCGTCTTATACACCGGAAATACTGGTAGTTTCCGGCGTATAAGATGACGTTCTAGGAAGGCGACTCGGCGATAAAGACGGGGGTCATCTTATACGCTGGGTCGCCTAATACGCTGGCACATATGGTAGGTTCTTACAATTTCACTGTGCTTTTCAGATGGAGTGGCTTTTCCCCCTGATTTTGAAAACCCAATTTAAATTTAATCAGGCACAAGTAAGGCCCATTTGAAGGCTTACGCTGTGATTATAGATTCAACAAATAAGCAGATTTTTTTTCTGCATTTATTGCATCCACAAGTTAATGGTTTGCTGAATTGTTTCAAGCTGTAAGGGGGACTGACTCATTTCCCCAGAAGCTTCTTGTAATTAGTATATTGCAGATAAAATCTCTCCTATTTAGGGTAGTCTATATACTGCCTTTAATTCAGAGTAAACTATAAGTGTCTAGTAACTCCTCCTTGTAGTATAAATTAATTTTGATCAATTTCAATTAGTGATACCCAAAGAGGATAGGCTGAGTGTATATCTCCCCATTGTTCTCCAGATCCTTGTCCAAACTGTTCATAACTTTTAACTAGGAAGTTATTAGAGACATCTCAATGACTCTCTGAGGGACAGCAGGATGTTTTAAAAAGAACACTGTTATTCCTTCATTTAGGAAACCTGTCCTGAATCCCTCAGAAATGGACAATTATAGAGCAGTCACTAATTTACCATGGTTGTATAAGATAATTGAGACAGTGATGCTGTTTCAACCATAGATGGTTTGGGAAGAGTATTAGGAAAAATGTTTACAAAACATATATTTTAGGAAACATGAAAACAAATGTGGCTTCTTGCATTTATGTAAAATACAGACTAATGTGAAACATTGACAAAATGCACTGATGATTAAATGTCTGTCAAGTTGACATAGATTGTCCATAGACTGGCATTAATATTTGTAGCTCAGAACAAATGGACTGCAACTCCTGTAATTCCTTTGCACTACAATATCTGGAGGGCAATAGGGTTAAAATAATAAATAAAACATACTAAGAATATATTCCTCTGCACATTCTCAGACTACATCTGTAATATGTGAAGAGGAATGAAATAAGAAAAGAAAACAAATATAGAAGCTGGTTTGCTTATCAGGACAATCAGGTTACATTATCTCAAAATATGCATTTGATTTATTAATGTTTATCTATCTGATCATGAGCTCCAGCTATTTAAATCATTTGCCAAAAAGAGCTGAGTGCTGTAGCTTCTTTTTCCCCTTCAACAAGTCTCAAATACATGTACAGACATGAACGAACACCACTTTGTGCTTTCTATCTGATCATCTTTCTGTGACTGTTTTTTACGACTTTGAAATGACTGAACAGCCAGGTTTAAATTACATTCTGTACTCTAGATCATGGTGGGCAACTTAATTCCCTAGCTCCCAGGCAGCTCTAAAATTTGTAAGTGTGGCTTGTTTATTCCATTACTGGCATGCAGCTCACAGATAGATACTGGCAAAGCATCAAATTATTGCAAGGATAATTGGCCCTTTAATATTTTCTCCAATAATTTAGAAAAGGATGTAGCAGTTGATTGGTAATACTGTATCCCCTAGATACAGTATTACCACCTTTGGCTTTCTTTGCAAAGGAAACAAATCCTAAATGCAATTTTTTCATGATTCATAATATTTTGCTCAAAATTTTAACCTCAAAATTTTAAGAATTATTTTTGCATAATATTCCTGCTGTTGCACAAAAGGTGTTCACAGGATGTGGGCAGAAAGTCAAGATGGTAGTTGCAGAGTACATAGAAAATACACTTGAAGGATAGTGGGAAAATCTATCACCAAAGCAATGATCAGATAAGTTCAAGTTGAGTTCATTCCAAGAAAGTAACTTGAGTGGGAAAAAACCAGACAGCCTCCCCAAATTTTAACAGGATTCTGTTACTATAGCTACTCTAATAAAAATAGTTTTGGACCTGTATGACATTGATTTCTTAGTCTGGACTGCTCAATAGGACTGACAGCGGCTGCAGCAATGAGCTTGAAGCTTTACCTGTTTTTGTGTGCATTGCATCATCTTGATTTCCTGACCACTTCCTGCAGACACCCAGATTCACTACCTTGTGGAAATGAGCACCTCACTACACTTTGGATGCTTCTGAATTGAAAGGATTAGCCAGTTATAAGCTGTTGCCCAGGAGATGCCTGAATGTTTTAACAGCACACATTCTTCAGGGAAGCTACTTTCATCATCATGAGTCCCAAATTCACTGCCTTGTTTTTAATCTTATATTTTAAATTTTATCTCATACAGTATGCCTTATTTTAATTGTGATGCTTCTGACATGAATAAACAAATTACCTTGTTTTTATTTTTCAAATAGTAAATTAGGAATGGGCACACGTTCTTCTGGATGTACTGGAAAATTAAAGTGGATATGTGATGTACATAAATAGATATAGAATATACAGTAGAATGTAACAGATTTTCTTCCCTTTCTCTTTCACTCGTCCATTCATTTTTTGCTTTCGCCCAATCTAACCCCAGCAGTGTCATCTTGCCCTGTAACTTAAAAATTCATGGAAAGAAGAGGACAGAACTGTAGAACAGACTAAAATTTGTTTACTCCCTTAAAACTTGACCATGGCTTTGTGCCATTGTAATGAATTTTAAATGCCAAAATAGGGTGAGGAGCTTCATATTCAGAAAAACCTGATAACTCCTGCTAGAGCTCAGATACTTTTCTTGTATTCCCTTTTACCCAAAAAGTGATGTGGATCATAACTGCAGAGATTTCCCCTCCCCATTTTTAATTATTTAGAGTTTTTGTGTGCATCTGTGTTCTGATTTTATTTTTCCGGTCAAGCCATTCCATATCTCATAACTTTCAGTAGCTTCACTGCAGCTTTTTAAAGATGGTGTTGTGTTTTGTTTTACAATAGCCCCACCATTGTGGCAGTGGAAATAAATGAAGGCAAAAAAAAAAAAATCACACTCTGCAAAGCATCCCCATCTCCTGCACTGAGCTGCATTTAAATAAGACAGTAATTACATGCTTCAAAGACCCATCATTATAATACAAACTCAAGAGACACACATCACTTAAATGAAGAAAAGATAAACAACAACTAAAAATGACTTCAAAGTGTTCTTGGAATTCTTTTCTTTCTTTATGGAGCTAATTCAAACTAAACTTGTCTAAATTAAGTCTAATGCTCCAGTGTTAGGCTGGTGGGCATCTGCAGCTCTTGATGATTATGCTCACATTCTCAATTGGACACTGGCATAAATAGGTGCAGTTTCATCAAAGCCACCAAAGAACATTCTGACATGTCCAGTCCATCACTTTCACTAGTACTTAAAATGCTATGCATTGAAACAGATGGATTTTCCACTTCCAAAGGATTCTTGCATATTTGTCCTCATCCAGATATATTAATACATAGTAAATCATCTGGTTGGGCTATTCTGTCCTACCAATATCTTGGGCAAACACAGAGGAAATAAAAAACTTTATACATCTTTTATGACTTCATTCCTGGAAGAGCTAGAAAGAATGCTGTTCATTCTTTGTTCTTTGTTTCAGGATTCAGATGCTTCTTCCCTTCATGGTCCTTCATAGTCAAGAACTTTCCTCCATAAGACTGTATTTTGCAAGAAGTCTGACAATCAAGAGAAAAAAAGGAGTTATGTTGAGCATATGCTATGCTCTCCATGATCTCCAAATGTCAGGTTAGAGGGAACCAAGAACAGTGTGTGGTAGTGATAATTCTATCAAAGACTTCTTCCTAAGTTTCCCTTCTCATTGGTCACTCTGTGAGTGCCACTGCTCAAGAATAATGAAGTAATGAAGCCACAAGCTATAGTTTCCATAGCAGAACAACAAGATTCCTAGATTGTGATAAAACAAATCAAGCTACAATTTGGTGTACTGCAATGTGTGAACCCAGTGAATGATTTGTCCCTTGGCTTCCTAGCTACACTAGGGATATACAGTGTATAAAGGGTATAGAAATACCCTTTCAAGAATAGTTGGTTAAGTGAACATAAAATTTTAATTTCTTAACCTGATTTTTTAAAAAAAGAGAATCACATATTTTTTTCCCCTTTGTTCCCATCTGGGTTTGTGTTTTCTACATCTTTATTCTTTTGTTTTGTACTCTTTTCTGGTTTTAATGTTTTTTACCATTTGTAAACCATCCAGAGTTTCTGGGAGTCTGACTGCATATAAATTGAATAAATAAATAAATATTAAATGTGGTATATATGGAGTAGGGATATAGAATCTACTGCCACATTCAAAATTACATTTAGGCAGCAAGGCAACAAGGCTGAAAATGTGCTGACTACAAGGAAGCATGAGAATAATGCTCTCACCTAGCATTTGCCCCTAGTTTTGCAGCCCAGATCTAGTAACCTTTAGCATTTGGTTATGGATAGGGAGGTTGCACAACCTGGGATAAATGTAAAATAGTTTTGTTAAAAGTGAATGGTGAATACTGGATGATGAATAATGGGTTGATTGAATATTAATATCTACATGGATTCTGTTGTAAAGAATATAGTATAACATAATAAACTTATTTAAGCAATCTTACCTTAGTCAATAATATGTTTTTTAACAGCTAGAACAGCTTTGTAGAAGCTGAGGTTCTCTAGCTGTGTTATAACTATGATGACCAGATTTTCTTGAAAAAAATAAATAAAGGACAAACCTGAAAAAGAGATTCATAAGGATAACATTTTTAATTGGTTAAGTTTAAAACTTTGGTTTACAAATGAAAATTCAAGACCAAAACCAAGAAAAAGTTTACAAAACTTTTATCTAATAAAAAATATCTAAAATCAAACAGTGCAAGTAGACTTATTTTGCAGACACAAATCAATTTTTATATTTTTCACATGAATGTGAAAGCATGTGTTAAGCTAAGTGTCCCAAATAAAGGGAAAAATTGAGGTTTTGAAAAATAAATAAATCTAAAGTGCAATTTTCTGAAATATAGAACTGTCCCATATAATAAAGGGTATATGGTCACTGGTAGATACACGATTAAGGAAGGCTATGCAACTGATATTTTTTATTTATATAAAATAAAAATATATGGTCTAACAACTGGTTGGTTTCTATTTTTCTCTGGGTTTCTCCATTTTTTTAAAAAAACTCCTAGTAACCAGATCTTTTACATATATCTGTAAAAGAAAGTGTGAAAATAGAAGTAATAAAACTGCAGAACAAAAGTAGCTGATTATTTTATGTTCAAAGACCTAAGCATTTAATCTACTTCATTGGAGAAGGATATACCCTGGCAGAAATGCTATAGCTCCAACATAAAGTTAAATTCATAAGAAGTATCAAGTAGTTTTATAGATACAATGGTGGTTGAGAATATGTTCTCAAAACTATGTAACAGTGACTGACAAATAGTCCTCAATTTATGATAGGTCACTTAGTGACCGTTCAGTTATGACAGAACCTTCCAGAGCTACTTACAACCTGCTCTCAAAGTTGTGATGGACATTACCACCCACTGTAGTCATTGCATTTTAGGGACTTGGCAATCAGAACCCATTCATGGCTATTTGCAGCATCCTTCAGTCACATGACCATAATTTACAATATTCTTTTTTGCTGGAAACCAGCTTTTACTCCTAGCTTTCAGCAAAACAAAAAACAAAAACAAAAAACCCACAACTGTACAATTGGATAGAATGGGTTCTCTTTATGACCAAAAAGATTGTAAAATTGGGCACAGTTGCATGGTGACTCGCTTACTGACCAGCACAATATAACTGTAATTTCAGACTCAATTACAGTCATAAGTCAAAAACTACCTGTAAGGTTTCTTTTTTTCTCTATTCTTACCTTCCATACCACTATAAAAGCTTGGCATTCTTGTTACATGAGTTATCTTGCACAAGCAACAAGAGAATACCCAGTATAAAGTAACTATCACTCTCCAAAGTGTGATATCAAACACCAAAGCTAATCTGTCCTGACAAGACTAATACCTCAGAGCAATTGTGCTTTCTTTTTTGCATTTTTTTTAAAATCTTTGAAGAAACTGTATTCCAGTTGTGATAAATGCAGGTATTTTTCTTTCTATTCTTTTTATCCCTTTTTTGGAGAGGAGGAGTATTTAAAATGAAGTAAATTATACTTCATTATACTTAGCTTAATTATACACCTGCAGCTTCCCTGAAGCCACAGTTATGAAAGGAGCATTTTGCTGAAGAGTTGGTACCAGTTCAGTGCTCCCAATCTTTAATTCTCATAATTTCTGGTAGAATTAGTGGCTTTTATTACAACCATTTTTCTCACTGGATAGATTATTGATTTCATGGACATCATTAATCCATTGGTTTGATGTTAAATTTCTAGGCTATGGGCTATGATCTAATTATCTGCTATGTAAAGAACAGTAGCTAGGTTCAAAAATACACCAATTAAAAATCAGCTCCTCTGGAATTTCTTCAAGTCAGACCAACCACATTTTCACTTTGATGAGGAACCAATCAGAAACTGGATTTTTAGAATTCTAGTACCATGGTCCAATTAAGAGATTAGTTCTGTTACCAATATAACACCTCAGTCAATTCCTGCTCTGTTGTCTGTAAGCTGCTAAGAAGTGCAGTTCAGAGCAAATCATTTTTGCCCCTGAAGATGCCAACCACAGAAACATCAGGATATTAGATAACTGCACGTAGACCCCACTTACTAACTGCCTAGTTCAGTGACCATTCATGAGTTTTGATGGTACTTAGGAATCATTTCCCACATTTACAACCTTGCATTATCCCTCAGTCATGTGATTGCCATTACATTCAGTATGCATATTAGTATGTCTAATCCATTTTTTTCTTTCTCCCTCTTGGGAGAGAAGATGGGGGGGAGGGATGAAAAAAACAAGCAATCTCTATAGGCAATTTCATCTTTGCTTGACTTGTTTTTAATTCTCCCTCACAAAGTGGGGAGATTGGAGAGAAAGGGATTACAAGAGAGTAAGCCGGCCCACAATGGAGAATACACTAGGATGTTTGCATGGCAAATTCATGACTGCTAGTACCACTGTTTTTCTTTTGATGTGTATTCCCCATAGTGTGCTAGCTTACTCTCCTGTAATCTTCTCCAATGAATATGAATACAAACATTAATTTACTTCTTACTAATTATCCCAGCATCGAGGTGAGCATTTCATATAGATGAGGAGTGGAGGAAAAGGAAACTACAGTTGCAGTCATGCAATTTCCTACATAGTAATTATTTCATTTAATGATAGCTACTGGTTCCATTTGGTAGTCATTAAACAAGGACTATCTGTAGTCCATGATCTATTAGACTGGAATTATCTCCATTGGAGAAGCAAGTTTCCTCATTTCAGAATGCAGAATATGATTTATAGAAAAAATATGATGATGTTTTCCATTCAGTTGTGTCCAACTCTTGACAATTCTATGGGCCAGGTCTTTCCACATCTTCTGATCTTGCACTATTCTTTGAGTTGTTCTGTGTTCTGACTGGTGTCAGCTTTGGTGGTGTCCTGCCACTATGTTCTTTGGCGGCCTGGTTTCCTTTTACCACTAACTCTTCCAAACATAATAGTGAAATGCAGCCTGCCAAATTGCAGTCAGTACTTCTCAACTTCAGTACTTGGAGAATATAATCACTGTAGGTTTTATGATTATGGGAGCATTACTGACAGCAAAGGTATGATCATATTAATTCTAAAATTTTAAGTAAATCAAATATTAATTTACTTTGGTTCTGAAATGGCTCTCAAGACAAAAATAACTACATATCCTAGTCTGCTATATTCAAACACTAATTACTTTTGGCAGAGTCAAAGATGCAGTCCCTCTTTGACTGGTATGCCTTGAAAAGTTTAACTGGTGATGCTCTATTATCCATTTGTTTCTGGCCCCGGGAATGAACTGACCATGTTAACTTAAATATTCTGAGCAAGGATCTTGTGTCACAACATGTTTACTGTAATGTTTTGTCTATCCTAGTCTAATTTGCCCATCTGTGATTTTTAGAAATTATATTTTACCTCAACTCTTAAGACAACAGCTGGCTTACTATGAGATGCCATGAAACAAAGAAGAATGGAAGAATTTCTTCCAAGCTGTCTGCATCTTCTCACATGTTCAATTTAAACAATCATTCAACTGTAATTGTATGACCCATTCCAGTAATGAAATGTTCATGCCAGACTGTGGAAATGCAAAATACACACCCTGCAGAAAAATGTAGTTAGTACAGGCCGATAAGGCAGATGCTAGTGAATGTTAACAAAAAGGAGGGAAGGCAGCCAACTATTCAAGTGATTAATTTATCTTACCTTTAATACTGTCTTCATGATAGATTTTGGTCTTTCGTGTCACATTTTTCCAGGCCTTGATTAAGCAATGAACATTGGAAGGATTCGTATCCCTGTTTAATCATTTAACTAATTAGCCTGCATCTTTTTGGCTAATCTGTTTCACAGGGTCATTACAAGAATCAGACAAGAAGACTGCACATGTATTTTCTTGGACTCTGTAGGTGAAAAGCAAGAAAAGCAATTATGATCAGCAAATTAAATAAAATATGGGGAAGGCTAACCAAGGCAATAACAGATGTGCTTGCATGTCCTGGTAAGCTAGAATTTCAGAGAAATTGGCTCCCCAAAATGAATCAAAGTGCTTATTCACACTTGATTCCTTCTGACAGTAGGAAAAAATAAGTTTTATTGAAAGCTATTTCCATGGTTTGCTAATTGAAATCCCTAAGGTGTAGCTCTTTTAACAAGCCAGAGTCATAGAATGCTCCTATTTCTAATCTCTGGCTTGTTGAAAACAATTAATCAGAGAACCTATTAAAGCCAAAATATTAATCAAATAATGGAAGAAATTTCAGTGATTGATTTAATCATAACAGCAAGAAGAACCAAGTGTGTTTGGTTCCAAATCTAACCAAGCTATTTTTTTAACTGAGTTTAAACATGCTTGGGGTAAACACATGTCCATCATTCGACAAAATAAAAAATATAAATAAATAAAATATGAAAATGATAAAAATACATAAATTAAAAATAAAATTTAAAAAAAAGACTCAAAGGGTAGACCTGATGGATTACTGGGACTTTTTCTGCCATCAGTTTTCTATATTCCTATGTTTTAAAAAATTCTAGCTTAGTATAAAATGTGAATCCTCCAATGCTTGTTTTAAATTTTCATGCTAGACAGGAAAGCTAGATCCCCATGCTTATTACCTAACTATTTGGAAAGAATTTATAAATGATATTTTTTAATTCTGATGTAACGTTTTAGTTAGAGATTGTCAGAGTTGACAAATCTCTTTAATACATAATTGTTTGCCCTGCCTTATTTCTTCATCAATGTTAAGGAGTTTCAATTAGACCTGGAATTATATGTGCTATGGAGCCTTTGCCAAGGAAGATTTGCTTGAAGTAACTAATTTTGCTCACATTCACAATCAAGTCATACATGTGTAATTTCATTACCCACCACTTGGGTAATATATGAAGTAATATATGAAGTAACATGTTGCAAAATATTCTGTCATCTTCTGAAATGTATTTTTTGCTTTGCCAATCTATAGTCCCCCATTCCTTGCTTCCTTCCTTTCCAAGAATAGCCAGAACTAATTCTGCTTACCTTCTGAGCCCAGGCCAGGTGAATTGATGCTACCACCAGCTAAGGCTCTGTACTTCAATTATCTGGTTTATGGCTTGCAGAAAACATTTTTCTACCAACATTTTAAAAAATCTACATCACTAATTGGTTAACTGTTTCTTTTCTGCTCTTTAGTTTTCATGCCAAAGATACTTCTTCGAGCTCTCATAAAAATAATTAATGTTCTCATTATTCTTCCAGGTGAGATTATTCTGGTTCTTCAAAGGTATGTTTGGAATGGGATTTTCTAAATCCCTTCAACATAACCAATGGAAGCTCTGGAATGTGTAATCCAATGCATTTGGCATGCAACAGGTCACATAAAGCTAGACTATTTCAGAATATTTGGAAATGCAGCTGCCTCTGAAATACATTTGGAAATTGCATTCAGTGCAACATGCTATAGCTAGCTTGTTGGTTGGATTAAGTATCTGATATACATTGATATGCTGTTAAGCAGGAAGGAGGGCAGCATTCCAGCAACAAGCTCAACTACTTCTGTAGATCTTCAATCAGAGGGTCTTACAAGTCAGGTCTTGGTAATATTTATTTATTCAGTTTATATAGCTGACATCTCACATATATGCCAGATTGGGAAATGGGTAGCATAATTAATTAAATTTATAATCATAAGTCTTGTTACAAACTGACATTTAAAAGCAACAGCCCTCTCAACAGCCTCCCTCAATCCACTGCTACCCCTTGTTCGCTTTTGACAGGCCAACGCACACCTTTGCCATACAATATCATAAACAAAATAAAAAGTGCCCAACAACCCACTGTTTCTGCAAGACACCCAACCACGCTGGCCATTCTATCCAAGCAGTATGGGTTTTCTGCTGTTACCATATATCGCATCAAAAACCAGCATCAGATAATGTGTCTGAATTAGTATTTTTTCCAAAAATCTAGTAAAATTATCTCTAAAAAAGAGGGTGAAAATTATACAGTTTTGAGAGTCAAGGAGATGATCTTGAAAAAGGTTGTTTGGCAACCCCCGTGAAATGATCGTTCGACCCCAAATGGGGTCCCGACCCACAGGTTGAGAACCACTGCATTAGAGGAACATCAGGTTCAGGAGATCAGTAGAAGAATATTGAAAATAAAAACCTCAGATTAACCCCCACCCCTACCCATCTCTCTCTCACACACAAACACATCTCTGAGGATGTAAAACAGAGGGAAGGATGGGCAGACTCGCAAGATTTTGTTATTATCTCAATAAAGTTTAATTGTAATCATCCTGTGGAATCAGATTCCAGATCTGGTCTACCAGAAAGTGCTTAAAATATAAAGAAAAAAGGTTATTTAAAAAAAAACAGAATTTATATCAAAGGTGATTTGAGAATTTGCATTTGAAAAACCTGTATGAGGGAAATATACCTATCAGGCAATTTATAACAATAGTTACCTAAATTAAGGGAAGATAAATATAAAGCATTCAGACTGTAGGAGTGGTTTTTAATGCAAATGACTGTACATTTTTCTGCTATTTGTTAATAAAATCATTTATAGCATAAATAGTGCTGAGCAAAATTACAGTCTTACCAAGACAGGCAGACTGGAGAAGATTTGTAGTTCTTGGTGTTGCTCCTCAATAAAAGTATGATTCCATCTGTCATGCTGACAACTTTATTACAAGAAAAGATTGAAAGGGAAATCAAGATTCATGATTTTAGCCAAAAATATGCATGTAGGATGAAAGAAAAAAAGCTACCAATTAACTGCTACAAATAAGAAGTCCCCAGCTGGGGCTAAGAGAAGAAAACACACACTGTAATGTCCTTTTTAATGATGTCCTCTGCAAGGTATTAGAAACACTTAGAGGAACCCTTGGGCCTCATTCTCCACCTGCATTTTATTTAAATGAACTGACAGACTTTAATATTCCTTCCTCAAGGGTTTGTTCTATGTAAAACTGCATCCTGCACAGAGCACTAATCACACTGACATGTTCTCCAGGGAGGGAACCTATTTAGAAGCAGTCGTTGGAATGCCAGGTCCTTTGCTGATTTAATTTTGCATTAGTGTGCTGAGCAAGGAGGATTAATAACAAGGATTTTGAAGGGCAAGAATGTGCCATTTTTCTGCCTAGCAGCAGGTAGGAAAAGAACTAGAAGGGAGGAGAAACAAAGACTGATGGTCAACATTACAGTCATCAGAACACATTTTCCTACCAATTCTCATTCAATCAAATGAAATGGAAAGATTTTTGCAGTTTCTTCTAAAGAGAGGAATTGTTATAGGATAGGTCATAATTTCTGTATAACAGACCTCCAGTGATTCACAACCAGCTTGGCTTCTCGTAATTTTAGTTAATGTCTAAAGAAGAAGCCATCATGTGTCCTCCCATGGACTTTATCAGATTTGGTCTTAATCAGATTTTGAAGTCAAGGTCTTCCAAGCAGCTTCACGGGGATGGAAAGACAACCAATATAATTGCAGTAAAAAAATACAAAACACCAGACAGAAGAACAGAAGTTTTCTCTGGAGCCGAAGGGAACCTGGGAGAAACTGTAGGACTGATTTTAGCACAGCACGTTACTTAATATGGTGATGTTCCCAGGAAAGTCTGAAATAAATAACAGTGGCTTCATTCACAAATGGTTTAAATTGACCTTTTTTCCCCTAGCAAAACATTAATGCATTTCAAACAATTTTTTTTAGTTAAAAACAGATCCTAACATTTTGAAGTGACTCATGACAATTTTTATGGGAGAGGAAGAAAGATGAGTGGGAATCAAAGGAGAATAATTTCTATGGCCATCTAATTCTATTGATTCCATTGACTTATTCACACGCAAATATGTTGAAAAGTAGAATTGCTATTTCATGAAAGTCCTCTTTCTGAAAGTGTTGGGTTGCATAATCAATTCTTGATTTATTATTCACCAACTATAATTGCCCTTATCACTGATATGTGCATGAATTTTCAACTCTGAATGTGAGTTTGACATGAAACACCTGCTGTCTGGTAACCAGCTTTCCTTTTTGCTCTTTTTCAGCAAAGAATCCTTCCCCATCTCAAAAAAAAATTAAGCCTGATGAAATTTTGAAAGCACCCAAACACAAACTCAAATACTTTGGTCACCTAATGAGAAAGAAGGACTCACTAGAGAAGGGCCTAATGCTGGGAAAGATTGAGGGCAATAGAAGAAGGGGACGACAGAGAATGAGATGGCTGGATGGAGTCACTGAAGCAGTAGGTGTGAACTTAAATGGACTCCAGAACATGGTAGAGGACAGGAAGATGGAGGAACATTGTCCATGGGGTCACGATGGATCGGATACGACTTCACAATTAACAACAACAACAATAAACACAAAACTTTTGATACAATTGTGCGTTGTACTGCTGGTTAAATCATAATTTAAATGTTATTAAATCACTATTTTAAACAGGATCATTCCTGTAATTATTATGTTGGAGCAGAATCAGAACACTGTTTTGGACAGTACCTTCTTTTTTTGAAGTGGAAAAACTGTTGTCTTGTGGATATTGCAGAGCTTTCTCTTCCACTGGCCGTTGCTGGTTGGAATTGCAGGGAGACTTAATACAGCATGATACAGAGAGTCATAGGTCCCCTATCCTTAGCCCAAGGTAATCTGCTGCATTGAAGCATAGTGACGGATGCCACCTAATCGCAGGTACTGAAGAAAAAGTCAGTGATCCATGAAGTTATGGCCATGGAGTTAGAAGATAGACACCGCCTTTTGCCTCTGAATTTGTATTATTCTAAAAGATTGGTTCTCTCAAGAGGTCACTATCCTGACTGGAAAAGATTTGTAATAGTATAAGCAACTGAACAACCTGCTTGCAAATTAAACCCAATTACTGATTTGCATTTTTCTTTCTATTCCTTTTTGGATCCCGAAGAGGTACACATCTAATCCCAATTTTTAAGGTTCTTTTGGCTAAAGGAGAAAAATGATATATATATCCATGGACACCTAGACCTGCACACAAAGTCTAGGAGAGGGAAGCCAAAAAGTAGGAATTGTATGCTTGTGCACTATACTGGAGGTTGCCATTTGTACACATTGGTAATTGTGGAAATTAAATAACTTTTTACCATATTTGTTTCCAAAATGTTTTGTTTCTTTAAGACTTGAAAATAAAATGCCTGCCTATCATTGTAAAAATTCTTACTTCAATTTTAAAGTTCTTGGGCCATGCTTTCTAAGAACTGAACCACACATTTTCTTGATTAAAAGATTAGGATTTGTTGCATGGTAGATTTTACTACAGGAGTATTTGCCTGAAGTGTAGTTTGAGTGTAACTTTCACAAATTTCTGCTCTTCCCTGCTCCCTCAAGTTCTTTCAAGATGCTCTTTTATGGACAACTTCTTTCAAATAGCAAATAGACAAAAAAGATATGAACAAAGAATCCTCTTGATTTCATGCAGAATTTGGTGGCAATTCAAGCTTGCAATTATTCTTATCATTATTGCTAGGAGAAGAGCTTAGCTAGAGAGGTCAATAATTCTTGAGTGAAGCTGTTGGACTCCAAAAGGAAACACAAAGGGGAAGTGAAAGTTTTATGAAAGTTTAGTTTTATCACTTATTGCACAATACTTACTTCTTTTTGTAATTACCTGCAATATCAACATATTTTGCAGAGGCACAGGGTTGTTCATTATGTCTCTGTGTATATTCTTCTATGAAGTGCAAATAATTGTAGTAACCAAAGCAAGGTGTGAGCGGACTTTTCTTCCCCTTCACTGTTCCCCTTTCTTCATCCTTTTTACCCCAGAGGTTGGGATGCAGTTGACTAATGTTGGTAATAAACTATTGGGTGTTAATGTTAATGATCACTTCATTATTGTGATCATTGTAGCTAGGTGATACTCTTCCTCCATCTCTACACAAGACAGTGCAACATTGGTTGCTCACTTTGTTATTAGACATTGCCCCGTTAGGAAATGGAGTCAATTGTGTGATTATACGATGAACGTATCATAATCGTATGATGAACAGTTAGGAGAACTTGATATGTTTAGCCTATCAAAAAGAAGAATAAGGAGTGACATGTTATATCTCTTCTAGTCCTTAAAGGGGTGTCACAGAGAAAAGGGGGTCAACTTATTCTCTAAAGCACCTGAGGACAAGACAAGACATAAAGGTGGGAGATCATCAGAGAGCTAACCTAGAACTAAAGAGAAATTTCCTGAGAGAACAATCTATCAGTGGAATGGCTTGCTTCCAGGAGTTGTGGGTGCTCCATCACTGGAGGGTTTTCAAGAAGATATTGGGACAACCATTTGTCTGAAATGGTATAGGCTCTCTTGCTTGAACAGGAGTTTGGACTAGAAGGTCCTTTCTAACCCTGTAATTCTATGTTCTAGCTTCTATGATCATCAAGTCAGAACAGAATGCTTTCTGGTGTTATATTGGAACAGGGGTGTCAAACTCGCAACGTCATGTGACGGGTCGTGATGTATCACGACTTTTTTGCCATTGCTGGCAATGGGGTGGGCATGGTTTTGTTTTGATGCATCGGGCCCATGGGCCAGCAGTTTGACACCCCTGTATTAGAAGGAAACAAAATCAACAACATAGGCTGCAGTCAACAGGTAGTGCAATTCATTTATCCTTGTCAGAAAATTTTATTTCTAAGCCTATTATTACATGAAAAATATACAGCCCAACAATGTTTTCCTTACCACTAAAGAAAAATAAGCACAATCCCCATTACCTTTACAACCTTATGCTCAGCAGGACCTTCCCAATGGATGGATGTGATTAAACAATTAAGTATTATTGGAAACTGAATAATTATTAATAAATCAAGCCTTTTTAATCTCCACTTAACACCAGATGTTGTGAATCATAATGAGCAATTCTGCCACAAGGACTTTAGATAAAGACTGGATGATTGCGTGTTATGTAAACAAGTTTATTTTAGGAACTTGTAGGCTTTGCATGCTGTATTTAAACGACATTTGTTCTGGTTCCATAATGATCCTTTGATTCTATCTAATAATGAGCAAAAGACCATGCAGGGTGCATAGTATGAATGGTTTGTTTCCATAGGAATGAGCTGAAACCATGTTTTCTTTTAACAGCACTGAACAGTGCAAATGCTTAGTTAGACTAACAGGACAGAATATTGGTGGAAAGAAATATAATCTAATGGAATGAAATATCAGAATGTTCAAAAGTGTTTCAACCTTTTCAGTTGAAAAGAAGAATGTAAGAAGTTTATAAAACCTAACAATTATACTTAGGAGCATCCCAGTTGGCCATTGGCAAAAGAATAACTTTTTTCCTCACCTTAAATTTATTTATATTACAGTATTCAGTAGAAGATGGGCTTTAAATCACCTAAGATTGACTTGTGCATTCAGTATAGGAAGTGCTGATGGTGGTTGCTTATGGACTAATTCAGAATTTTGGCTCTGCCTAGTCTGAAATTGATTCAGAAGTGCTTTGGATAAAGTGACTACAATTACAGCCCTTTCTTCTATCCACTGAGGCAGCCCTGCCCTTTTTTTCAAGTTTTCACATGAGCATAAAAGAGGCCGAAGTTTTAAGAGCCACTTTGATGAGTCAGTTCTTTAAATCAGCCATGTCTTTTTTCTGCTGGTTCACTTAAAATATGCAAATTCTGTAAAATAAACAAAACAAC